GCCATCCAGACACTAAACACAATCTGTAACTTTGTTCAACGCGGGATACAGCGCGGCGGGGGGGACTCGGTTGCGGTTTCGCTGATGATGCATCACAGGGGAACAGACAAACAGAAAGACATGCAAGGGGAATTAAGAAAGAAAGATGGAAAGAAACGCTTTTTCGCTGCTGCCAACGCCAGGAAACATGACTGACACAATGACAAAACTCAACAGCGAAAGGGGGTATTCTGCTACCCAAAGAACAGGGGAAAAATCGAGCATCGCAAAAACAGGCTTCCATGACAAAGGACAATGTGGTGGGTTGGATGATTCGTGGATTATTGCCTAAATCGGCTTGCACTGAAGACGGAGGAGAAATCAGATATCCATACTCCAACGCCAAGGCCGCAGGCGCTCGAGCTGGCCTAAGGCGATATCGTCAGGCGAGTCGTTGATTTCCAGATGCAGCATCTCAACTTTGTTGTTGCTCTCGTGGTGCTGCGGGTGCAAAGTGGACATGGTCTTGGCGATCGTTGGGAAGTGTTTGCCGCTGTCTTGAGTCGCCTTGGAACCAGGCCGCGAGGTTGGGGTTTGCGGCGATTGCAAAGACACCCGCGGGGACTCCGCCTCCGAGTCTGCATCGGACGAGAGCGATGAGCACGATTCGAAGCGAGAGTGTAGCGAGGGCGTGATAACCCAGCGAGACTCGTCACGTCCATGCTGAGGTGACTCGTCGTCGCCATCTTCCTCCAACCCGTCGGCTCTTGGATCGTACCAACCATCGGGTGCCATCACTGACGTTCTAGCTCGGGAGGCACTTCTCTCGATCGGTTGTGTTTTGATCGGGGGCTGCGCTGGTGCTGTCGCAACCGGCTGCTTTGGATCTGTTTTCAGATCGGGCGACTTGTTGTTGTTCTTGGACGCGGAGTCACCGATGCGCTCCTTGCCGGCCATAACCCTGGCACTTGGTGGGGGCTGCAACATCCACCGCGTCTCCGCCCGGCTCTTGGGCCCACTAACGATCGGGGGATGCAGATCATTGACCGGGGGTACTCGAGCGATATAATATTTGCTGTTAGAGACCTCATCCGGGCGCCCTCCACCAGACAAACCCACAGACGAGCCCTTCACTTCCACATCTTGACCCCATAACGGCTCGTCTTCCCGCTGATAGCGCATGCGACTCCAACGTTCGCCCAATGGGTTCTTGAGTTTGTCTTTTCTGAATTTTGTACTACCCGAATCATGGAGTGACTCCGTCGATACCGCATCTGTATTCCAGGATTCCTTTCGACGATGGGTTCGACCACCTCTACGCGCAGGCGGACCGGGGCCTAGAGCGATCTCCTCGGCCCATGCTGGGTTCGTACTGAAGGGGGTGGGTTGTCTGAGGGGTTTCGGTTGGTCGGTGACAATGGTATCGACTTTCTCTTGTTCGCGCTTCGACCGGGCGGCTTCCTTCATTCGATTTCGACGGTAGGACGACTCGGCACAGGGTGTGCAGGTGGCATAGTAGAAAACGGCCGACTGAGCGCCCCGATACAACCACATTCTGGGCTGGGCACTGATAGCGCTCAATGAGGACGGGATAGAGGTGAGGGCGATCTAGAGGAGAGAAAGGAGGGAGGTGTCGAGAAGAGGGTGAGGTGTCGGAGTGACGGAGAGTCGGTGCTGTCAATCACGAAACGAGGCTGTGGGCGGGAGATTATGCTGCAACCTCGTACTCAAGTAGACCAATTGGATGGCGGGTAAAGACAAGTCGAACCCGAGAAGTGCTGGCACGGTCGCAACAACATGAAGGGCGCCTGGTTCAATCGAGGAGAAAGAGAAGAGGGCAAGATATCGCGGCGGTGGACCGGAATAGGCAGAGGTGGCGGTCGCCCAGCGACCGAGGGAGGGAATTGCGAGTGGATACGGGGATCGAATCGGTAAAGGGGACCGGGGAGGTGGTTGGGTATTCGAGTGGTAAGAGAATGATCCGGGGAAGATGAGGTGAGGGTGGCGGCAAAAAAAGAATGTCTCCCAAGAGTAAGATGAGAAACAATTCAAATCAATCAGAGGAGGAGGGGAAGGGGGGAGGGGGGAGAGAGGAGGAGAGGAGGAGAGGAGAGGAGTTGAGTAAAAGTGAGAAAGTGAGAAGGGGAAATTGGTTGGAGAGGAGTAGTAGAGGACTAAGCAGCAGCAGCAGCAGCAGCAGCAACAGCAGCAGCAGGAGCGGCGGCGGATGGAACAGTTCCCGTCAGGGGAAATTGGAAACGAAACGATCCGGTGTTGGGCCGCACTTGGCAAGGGCGGGGCCAACGGCAGGCAGTGAGAGAGAGAGAGTGTGTGAGAGAAAAGGATTCACATTGATTAAATTTGGATTGGAACAATGTGCAATAGGTGAAGAGAAGAAAAGGAAGTGCGTGTGTGTATGATAATAATACAATAGTAAGAAGTAAGAATGGGAGAAAGTGACAAGGTCACTGACTGGAACTGTACCTGGAACTATACAAGAAACAAAGATACAAAAGGAGAGAAATAAGGTTAAAAGATCTCTTGCATTGAATGGAACTCATCACTTCTTTAACTTCTCTCTCCCTCCATCTTTTCGCCAGGGGGATCCATCAAAGTGTAAATAAAAAAAAGAAAAAAAAAAAAAAAAAAAAAAAACCCCCAAAAAAATCTAACCTCCCCCTTTTGAGACAGACTCCCGACAAGCGAGGGATTCATTTCAGGCAGTTAAATAAATATCCATAGTGTCTTTGCACAGCCATTAAAGACTTAGACACGGCAAGCTCTTGATCTCCTCTCCCAACAATAACCACCCCATAGTAGTCCAGACGCAGTCGCTGTCTACTTGAACAATCATATTATCGGATTCATCAAGTCATGTACAGGTAATTAAACGAAGAGTCTTATGTTAATTGGTCATCTATGTATCAAATCCACTTTCGCCCGCTCGTGGCCCATGTCCTCGGCTGGAAAGGAAAGCTTTCCGGGTGGAAAAAGAGGCCCCGACCTCACATCATCTAAGATCCAGGATCAGATGGACATCGATCTCATTAATCCCTGGCCATGGCTGACAAGGGAGACACGGTCCAGCTCTCAAACAGCCTCCCCTCCCCCTTCCTGGTTATCCCATGCGAATCATTCCGAGTTTTGGATCCTGCTCCCTTCTGCTTCAGAAGATCCCGAGCCCCCCAAAGGATCCCACAGAAGTCGGCCGACCACAGAACTTGCATTCCGAACCCCCGTTCGGATTGAAGATCCCGAGCGTCCAATGCACCTGCATGTCTAGTCCGTAGTCACACTCCCATCTCATTATAGAAGATCCCCTCCGAAACGGATCATTCAGAGTTCCAACGCGGGCCGATTCGAATGCATTGCATAACTTGACCCACCCAATCCCCTCCCATCGCGCAAGTACCGGATACCGGGAGACGAAAGCCACAAGCGCAGCGAACCTCAGGCACCCACTGGCTAGCACCTTGTCCCGCTGAGCGCCAACACCCACGCAGAATGAGAGAGAAACTGGATAGACAAGAGGGAAAAAGCGGAAGAGAAGAGGGGGAAAGGGGGAAAGGAAGGAGAGGGGGGGGGGGGCAGAGACAGCCTTCGTCCGTGACCACGTCACGCCGAACTCGTCCACGTCAATTTCACACCACAATCAAACGAAACGCGTCTCCATTCCTTGCTTGCCACGGGAAAGAAAAAATACAATCCAGCCAGTGGATTGTTATTTGGGGCCTTTTTTAGTAATTTTCCTTTTTTTGTGTCGAATGCGATTTGGGTTTTAAAAAGAAAGAGCTTTGTCCAGCGGGCAAGGTGTCTTCCCCCTCCCTTCTTCTCTCATGCATTCTTCGTGCCTTTCACTACCTCGCCCTTGACCTTGGTCCAGTCGATGTCACGGTCAATAGCCTCGTCGACCTCCCCGCATAATACCACATTGTCGCCGCGAATAAGATAGAGTCCGTGTTCGATTTGCGAGCTAGGTTCCGGGTCATCGGGCGTCCGAATGATGCGCTCAATCGTGTCAAGGAGTACCAAGTTCGTCAGCTGATCCGTCGATAGAAGGGTGCCCAGCAGTGTCCGGCCATCGACGGTCAAGACCAGAATTTTTTCTATGTTCGCGAGGAGTCTGGTCAGTTCGGATTGCTATCTCACATGTTCAAGCAACGCGGAATACTCATGGGCAGGTGGTTATGCTACCCAAAAATGTTCTCCGACCACGGAGGGAGCTAGATACTTACTGTTGATGTATGATTGTAAAGACATGGCGAAGATGTGGCTGGCCCGAGAGCTGGCGGTATCGCAAAGAGAATGGCAATTGCTCGAGCTCTCCGACAGACTTCTCTGATCCCAAAGAAGCGCAAGATCGTAGAATTCTTGTTCTCGAGAGAAAGATTTGGCCGGAGTATCTCAGAGCTTTACTAAGATGCAGATAGCGATGGAAAAACAGGTAGAGTAATCGTGTCGCGCGGATGGGGCGTCTGAGTTCCGAGCAATGACCTCAATATATTCCTTAGAGTGAAGGAAAGCCGATGTGAGGGTTCAAATGAATTAGAATGTTGTGCTGGTAACGGTCGATCGCGGTCCCAGTCCAAAGTAAGGCAATTAGCGAGGGTCCATCTGTTTAAAGAGAGATGGCAGCGACTGTTGATCCCGACCTGCTGCTCCGTTCGCTATGGCGTCGTGTCACGTGAACCGTCCCGTGCTTTGCTTATCAGATTCCGAAGATCTACGAATTCTGACTCGTCATAACGTGATCTGCATTCGTGAGCTGGGACGGCGCATTGCTGCATTTAGAGTATATTTGTTATTTGTTCTAGATTCTATTCGACAATCTAAATGCTATTTGAAGCAAGGCGACGCCATTTCCTGTCAAACATAGTGACTGGTGCATGACCACAAAACTACCAAGCCTGGAAGTCTTTTTGCTTGACATCTTCCTGCCAAACGATGCGAGGGTAGCTAATGCGTTTGAAATAATGTTCAATTCATACATGTTATCTAACTACCGGCCACTGGATCTCCCCTCAGCCGCTCAATGCGCTGAGGTCCAAGGGCACACTGCTCCCTCGCCCAGCCCGATACCGCCGCGCACCACCGACGAACGGTCGAGGTTTGGGCAGCAGTCCTTCGCTCTGGAATTTGAACCTATGATCATCAATCCGAGTCACGCCGTGCATGCCCGGACTCCGAGGGCTAGATCCCGCTGACGGCCCGCCGTTGCTGAGGGTATAAGCGCTCGGATCAAGAGTGGAACGATCCGGGGGTGGACTGGCTAGTGACTCATATGAGCTTGGTCGTGGAGGTGCTGCTGCAGGGGGCATCGTCGGAGGAGCAGATGAAGGAGGCGGCGGTGGAGGTGCGGAAGGAGCCGAGGCAGCGGGTGGAGGTGGAGGTGGGGTGGAAGGAGTATGCTGCATGTGAGCGAGCACATTTCTGGCTGCTTGTACAGCCGCGGAAGCAGCCGAAGTGCCATTTGCCGGTGGAGGCGGTGGTGGAGGGGTTGACCGTGCCGGCGCTGGAGGTGGGCGCGGGGCTGACGCTGCTGGCGGGGGTGGTGGAGGCGGCGCAGCAGGACTAGCTGAAGGAGGCGGAGGCGGGGGTGGAGCGGTAGTCGATGGTTTTCGTGATGTGATCGGAGGAGGAGGAGCATGCTTAGCGGTACCAGGCAATGGTGGAGGTGCGCGGGGAGGCGCGTCAGGGGCGGACTTGATCGATGCAGTTGACGCTGTCGATGATGGACGAGATGCAGGCCTAGGGGGCGGCTTTCGAAGATTCGCGACCAATGGGTTGACTGGAGGAGCTGGTGGGGAGTCTGTTGCAGGTGGAGGTGGAGGAGGGCGGGCTCCTGGTGGTCTTGGAGCCGACGCAACGGGCGGCGGGGGAGCTCCCCTGGAGTTTTCCGAGTCCGACATGTATGGGGATTCCCGAGTAGCGCCGGTATCGACACCCCCTCGACTGCGTAGCTTAGGCATTCCTCCTGCAAAGAGTCCAGCTAGCTGAGGAGCTGCTGGAGCTGCCGCCGCTGCGTCCGCCCCTGAGCCTGTATCGCTGTTGCTCCGTAGCCGGTTGGCGGCCTGTGCCGTCGGGACTGGAGGTGCAAGTCCAGCTGGAGGCTTCGCCATGCCTGGGATGGGTGGTGCACCGGGCACCGAAGGGCCTGAAGACTTCACTCCCCCACCGGCAAGCTGAGGAGCTGATCTATCATTGGTGACGGCCTTCTTCAATCTTGCACCTTTGTGAATATCGGAAAGGAGAGCGCTCTGTGATGGATGTCAGCCAACGGATTGGGTCTGAAACAAGAGCTGCAAGCACCTACCCTGCCCTTCGCTTCTGAGCCCGAGGGTCTATTTGGTAAGTTTCCTGGTGGAGGTGGGGGAGGAGGGCCTCCCATCCCTCCGGGGGGCGGCGGCGGCGGAGGAGGCGGAGGGGGAGGCATGTTGACTGTATGTATGTCGAGGAGGGGATGACGCTGATATCGGAAGATTGCGGTTGATGCGTGTAGTGATCTCAAAGGGACCAGACGGTGGACGTTAGAAATACCATCTGACAACTGCCGCGACTAGAGATATAAGGACAAAGGAAAGAAAGTGGATGCCTGTTTGGAGAGCTGATGTGAACAAGGCGAGGGTGTAAGGGAAGTGACGGAGTTGGGGGGGGGCGCTGTACGAGACAAGCCGCCAGGTACTGTACCACCGCCCGCCTAGTAGGTGCGGCAGTACCACTCGCCGCCTTATCGCATATCCGTCGCATTTCCTTCTTTTCTGTTCAAAACCCCCGTTACCGTTTCGAACGTCCTAGGCGGAATTGTGGATAGCAAACATGATTACCACGAACAGAATGGCCTTGAGGGCCCAGAAATCCAAGACCCAATCTCTGGTCTGTCAGTTCTGTCGTCAAACAGGGTCTCCTAGTCCCGTACCTCGCCCACTACTTTCTCGGACCTATGCCTCAAACACCACCAGCCCAGCACTCTCAAGCGTGCATCGCGAGCGATTCCAGTCAAGACAATCCTCGTGGACTCACGCGAACCAAATCTCGAAGCGCTTCAACTCGAGCCAAGCAGAACAACCCACAAGACTGCAATTGGATGAAGCCATTGCCCAGATTGCCGAAGAATGCTCCAACCTCTGCCAGGCAGACGCCGTGCCCGCCAACGACGCCGTCAAGCAACTGCTGCAGAGAAGCGAGAAGATCGCCGAGACAATCGCACAACCCACAAAAGCCCAACCAAAGCAGGAACCGGATGAGTTCTCGTCTCTGTTAGACCTGGACGAACCGGCAACGGCCGCGGAGAAACCGCAGCCACGACCCAAGCTAAGCCGCAAGCAGCTATCCAAGCAGCTGTGCCAGGCGATCCACGGCCTGCTGACCGACGAGAAGGTGTTCATCTCCCCTGAAGCCCTCGCCTCCTACACCAAGATCCACGTCCTGCTCCAGCAGCCCCACCACTTCCCCGAGATCTTTCACCTGTACGCCAACAAGCCGATCCCGGAGGAGAAGAGTTCGCCCGTGCGCTTCAGCAAGGCGAACCCCAACAGCATCAACAGCGCCATCCCCGTGGAGCTGGCCAACTCGGCGCTGGACGTCGCCATCGCTCAGCGGAACCTCTCTCTCGTCCTGGCGATCATCGACACCACATTCTCCACCGCGGCGTTCCGCCGCGCCAAGGCCTACAAGAAGGCCGCGCTGCCGCTGGGTGGGCTGAGTGCCGCCCCGGTGGCTTGCTACATCCTCGCGACCTGGGCCGGGAGCCTGCAGAACACGATGGACCCCAGCACGGCGACGGGCATCGCCTTCGCGGCGGGGCTGGCGTACATGGGCGGTGTCACCTCGGTCGGGTTGTTGGCCATCACCACCGCGAATGATCAGATGGAGCGCGTGACCTGGCAGCCGGGAGTCCCGCTGCGGCACCGGTGGCTCCGTGAGGAGGAGCGGGCGGCGTTCGATAAGGTTGCGCTTGCCTGGGGTTTCAAGGATGTTTACCTGAGAGGTGAAGAGGAAGGAGAGGAGTGGGAAAGTCTTCGCGAATTTATCGGCATGAGGGGGATGATCTTGGACCGGACGGATCTGATGGAGGGTATGCAATAAGCTCATGACCTGGTGGTTCGCGCCGCCGAATATCGATGTACAGTACCAATTTATACACTACCATATCACATCAATTATTGAAGCGAATTCCACACATCTCATCGAGATACCGGATGCGCGCCTACGAGACATACTACGATTCTACGTGTTGCAGCACAAAAAGAGCGCAATTGAGGGACATAAAGTCATGGGTCACATTTCCGTAGAGTCAACTAAGGCCTATACAATCCCAAACCTTAATAATCCCTCTAAACCCTCCAGCGCAGCAAAGCGTTAAGAGCCCCTTAGTAGAGACGCTTGGGAGGAGACATGGTAGCCTTGAGGACAAGGCTACCAACGTTCTGCCAGCCCTTCTTGAGCAGGGAGACGAGGTAGTTGATGGCCAACATGGTGTTGGCGACGAGCTCATCCTCGGTCATGCCAACGTTGCCGACGGCAACACCCAAGCAGAGAACCTTCTTCAGCTGGAACTTGATGGTGGCCTTGATCTCGTTGATCTTGCCAGCCAAGTCCTCAGCGTGGGAGACGGGGGTAGGGAACTTTCCGGCTGTGGTGGGCGTTAGTTTGCATGTCACTGCCAACAATATGCTTTGTCATTGGAAGGGGGGGGAAACATACCCTTGGAAAGACCAGGACCCAAGAGACGGGGGATCTGCTTGATGAGGGAGTCGGAAGCGACGAAGGCATCGTACTTGCGAGCAAGCTTCTTGATGAGCTTCTTGTTCTTGTTCAGCTTCTTGAGGTCATCAGCGGACATGGCGTCAACACCGAAGTGCTTGGCACGGTCGAGATCGTGCTGGTCACCGAGAACACTAAAGTGCGTATGCCGTTAGCCTGGATGTTCTCCAATCCTGGTGGTTCTCTCGTGCTCTATGCATCCCCACAGCACGCAGATCTGTCGCATAACACCCTCTCCATTCGACCCGTCTTTTTTCGGTGGTTGCCACATACCAGATGCTCATGTTGGGGCGGGGGATGGTGGGCAGCTTGATGGTGCCGGAGAAACGCTTGTCACGCTGGGGGTCGTAGTTCTTCAGACCGATCTGAAGCTCGACGGTCTCGAGGAAGTTTCTCTTCTTCTCATTCTGAGAGTAGTTGAGCAGCTGCTCAACATTCTGGCGCACTCCGGCTGTGGATGGACAAAAGAATCGCAGGTCAGCGGTTTTGATACACTTGATTTGGCTTTGTGCACTCTCATCTCTTGTTGATCGAGGCGTATTCGTGGATGCAAGGGAAAATTCACATACCGACTGTGATCTTGGACATCTTGCTGGACAGTCTTCCAAAAGAACTCTTTCAAATTCCTATGGTGTGGCTCTGCGCTGAATGCTGGTCGACAAGCAAAAGGGAAAAAAACTCGACTACTTCGCCCCGTCGGCCGTAGAGAAATTCCCGTTCTCCGCTTGTGGGCGTGTCTCGCGCTAGCCGCACTGGGGCTAGCGCTGCCCTAATTCATGCTTCGGGCTGATTCAGCAAGCTATCAATGACTAAGCGCTGCTCGCGTCTGATCTCAGCCAATCATGGCACACTGTTCACGCGACGCTCCCGTCTACATAGTACCGTAGGTGCAGTGGACTGCCCCCGCGACACTAAGAGAGTAATGGATTTGTCGATGGGTTAGGATTATATCACATTGTGACAGGAGAGATGCTCTATAACAGTAGCAAAAATTGAGTCCCCTCAGTCTACTCCTGACTCCTTGTAATCATCATGAAAACAAGTAATCCAGATCTCATCCCTTCCATCTCTTCTCATATGGTCACGACGCGACACCGTGCACCAGGCAAAAGCCATGCCCTAGGTAGGAGGGGGCCATTGAAGGTTCAGGTCCAGGTTACCCCAGTCCCATATTTGGCCCAGTTCGCACATATCAACGCTGAGAAGACCGTCCATCCCAGCAAATTCGCTGGTTCCTGCTGCCAAGGGACTCAACCCTAAAGGTAACGAATAGTTGATGCCAGCTTCTATAGAGCTCCAGGGCAAATCCAGGTCCGTGGAAGCAGAGGTGGCATCAAAATCTGCACCAGATCCTAGCGATGTCGAAGGAGGTGTAATGGGTCCCTCTAGGGATCCGTCCGACGACCTGGAGAATATGGCCGCCTTTTCCTCTCCAGTCAAAGTCATACTGCCCGCAAGCCTGTTAAGTACCGCATAGCAGATGGCACCGGTCTTTGTGTTCTCGGATATCTGTTCCAGCGCTTCGAGAGCCGTCGAAATTGCTTCGATAGTCTTGTCTCGGCCGGGAAGAGTGCTGTTGTGATCATGGATAATTGCAGAGCATAAGAAGGCTGCTGTATCAAAGATAATGAAGGGGGCGTAGTGGAACTTGGCGTTTGCAGGTAGCATAAACGCTAGCATCCGCTGCGATGATTCCAACAGCTTCAGTGCACAGTCGACAGCAGTCGGTCGAAGACTCCTCTCAATGCTAGGCTTGTCTTGATCGACAGTCATTGTGAGGCATGGCTTCAAAGGCAGAAACATTACCATATACCCGATCGCATGTAGCTGATGCCGCTGTATTGCCACGTGTTTGTGAGATTGATCCCAGCGAGTGTCGGGGTTTTCTGGTCTGTATGGCGCGGGGAGGTTCATAAACCACTTCTCAGTCTCTTGTTGGATGGTAATGGCCTGTGCGGGCGACAATAAGCCACCCATCACACCGGGTATCTTGGAGATAGTCTGTCCGAGCTCACATTGGAAAGTCATGTGAGCGATCGGTGAAAGCCCGAACTCCTCGGGATCAGGGCTCTCGAGGCGTAGGTTTGGCAGTTCAAAAGAGCAGTAGTTGCTGTTGATGATGAATGGTCTCGATAATAATAGAGACATTTGCCTAGCTTTGTCAACACCGCGGGTATCCACGACCAACCAGCACGAGCTTACCAATCCCAAGTATACAATATGCACCAAATTCGCCTTCTCATTTCGCATTCGAACTCTGAGGCAATCGCCTTGGATGAACTCTTGTGCATGCCTATCGTCGAAATTCAAAAGTCAGCCTATATATTACGAAGCTTGAAGTACCTGTATTTACCTAATTCCTGCGCTTGGTGGATCGCAGCGCCCAGAGCATGCCATGACTCAACAAATTGTGCTTCACTTTTGTAGTAAACTGCATTCAGGAACAGTTGTTGCACTTGAGTCAGCCCGCCTTTACCAGGTGCAATGGTACTGCTAAGCTGCTTGGCAGCATGATGATAATGTTCGGCAAGATTCTGGGCGTTCTCCCCGAGCTCCGTCTCCAGCTTCTGTCGGGCATCAAAGTCCAGATATAAGGTTGCGCAGGCGCATATGTGTAAAAGCGTGCAAGTAAACTCGGGAGTCAACGCCTGACCCGCCGCCTTGCCAGACCACCAAGTAGCATAGTCGTGCGAGAATGTGGGCGGGTAAAGACAATAGTATTGAGGATTGATCTCACTGAGAAAGTGCTGTATCAGGATGTCTGATCATGCATGAGTGATTGCGTAGGATTATCGTGAGTTGGTTGGTTTACCTGTGTATGGTTTTGGAGGGACTATACGGATGGCTTTCTCCATCTCCGGCTGAATAGTGCTACAGGAGACCGGAGATATCGCGGCAGATTGCTGTCAAATCAACAGTCAGTAGATGGTGGACACAGATCCATATCACGTTAGCCTTACATATCTCTCAGCACCCTGAGGCGTCGCTACCTCGCTATCAGGAAGGTATCCGAGCATACGAAAAGCATTGTCGTTGGTGATTGCCGTGATTGTATTAGAACTCGAAATTTCGTGATTCGACTCTACAGAAGCCGTCTGTGGAGTATCTATGCTGAAGCAGGTATTAGGGACCTGTATGAAACCAAGAACGGTGCCTATAGCTCACCTTGCATTGTTCGTCATAGACCTGGTCACCTTGAGCGCCTTTTTGGGGGGAAATTTGCATAGATGAGCCACTCTTCTTGCTTGACAATGATTGCATGGCCAATCGCGGCTACACTGTACAAAGGAGTCGTCAGATAAGGTGCTCTTTTATGAGAGAACTAGATTAATCAAGGCTGACTTGTGTTGCTTGCCTTCTGCTTTCGACGCTGACATTCAGTACATGACGTAGCCAAGCGAACGGGCTGCCCCGTGGCTGCTTGATGTACCATTTCTGAGATGGTCGCCAATGGAGCCGCTAGAGACGGTTAGACCGGATTACTTGAGATGAAGATCATATCCTTCCTAGAAGCAGTCGGCTGGATATGATCATCATGCTTTCAAGAGTCAACTGAGGACTCCTCTGCCCGAAAACGTCGATATGTCGCTTGTGACCGATGGATCGGTGGATCTGATGCGGTGCGTGGATACTGGATACTGCTCCGTACTGCAGTCGGGTAGAAGTCAGTCCCGCGGTTCGCGTGACGGCCCGGTAGAACTAACCAAAACCGGGTAGCTATGGGGTACCCGGGCTGTCGTGGGAGCCTGGAGGGCTATCTGGGCTATAGGTATAGTAAACAGTGAATAAAACCTCATTTGAAAAGTCTTCAATGATCTCTTTCTATAGGGGATGCATCAGATGAAGAGTTTATATTCTACTCCTTACCACCTAGTATTATGTATCGTTTTCGGAAAATGATCTTGGTCCGCCAAGATGATGTTTTGAAGAATGCTATATATGTTGATAGCCTCGACCTTGCTCGGTAACACCGCCGTTTCGTTTCAAGAACTTGACCTGACTCAATCCCTTACAAGCATTTTGCCTAGTCACACCTGGCTTGCAGATCTTCACTAAAACCAAAATTGAGCATATGATACCTTTCAGCGCCCACAACCATCGATACGCGCCCGCCTCCAGATGCCCCCCCCGGAATCCTTGGCGGGGGCTTGTCAACATACCCCTCGTGCTGCGGACGAGTCAGCTGTAAGGCTCTGGCGCCCGCGCTGAGCGGCAAGCGATTGTGCTGTCTCAGCTCATAAGTACCCAGTCAGTCGCCCTGATCTGCGCGACGCAGGAGCTGTGAGAAATTATCCGAGCAACTGCAGGCTGTTGTTCTCTGCCATGAGTCCCTGTGCCTCATTCAGCTTCTGAATTATCATACCCACCCTTTAGTGTCCAGTATACGGTCTCGCGACTGCCTGTCGCTGGCCAGGATAAGAAATGTCAGGGCCTACGACATCCAGCAGTGGCCACACACCTCAATATTATTATTCCAGTTTTACTCAGAAACCAAGTATCCAAGATAAATTTCGCGACATTGATGATGCCAGCAACCTGAAGCACTATCGGGCTCTTTTGCAAGACCCTCAAGCAAGAAACTTTGTGCTCGACTTCGGCAATGAAGATGCATGGTGTGCTGTGAACTTGGACCAGGAAGAGATAGCGCTGCTACTGCGCAAGCCAGTATGTTGTCAACGGTAGCTTGATGCCATTTGAATAAGACTAAATGTGGATGATGCTTAGAAGCCAAATTGTTATGGTACTCGGTGGATGTAAGTATAAGCATTATCGAACACGAATGGAGACATGCTCAGCGAGGTTCACCAGTAATATATGGGCCCCCGAGCAGCAAAAGGATTTGATAAAGGTTAGCCTAGTCTCCAATGGGTCACCATGTCTCCACTGATGTTCTCAGTCCATCACCAGTCACTATGGTGTATCGGAACGGCTACAGGGCATGATGTGCACAGACCCAGTCGAGCGTCCATCGAAACCTCCAGTCCCTGCTGAGCCTTCACGAACTAGCTACTCCAGACACCGCGACCGGTTGCCCTCAAATCGATTGAACGACCTCGAAGAAGGCAATGCACTCAGAAATTTGACAAACCCCGAGGAGATTAGCGCACTGGCATCGTTCAGGGGTCTCACCTTTGCCCACGTCATCGACCAAATATGGCATTTTTGCTCGGTGGATTATGGGCCAAGGTGTATGTCCAACTTTATTGAACTGCTGGAGCCAAATTTCTTACGGATGACAGATACTTGCGTCGGTTACAATTCGATCTATGTGCTCCCAGGTCATGAGATGGACAATGGGAAAGACTTACCGGCTGGTAGGCGGTTATGGTCCTGGTTAATTTTGTGCGATGATGGTAAGAAGCATTTCCCTGATGGCTAGATTCTTAATAATGAGCTGTACAGGGACTGTCATAAACATGCAAGAGAATCCGTTTCCTGGCCTATCAGGCCCGTCGGAGAAAGAAATCAAGGCTGTCCTTGGCGTGGTTCGCCGGAACCTGCAACTTATCTTCTCCGGGGTCTCTAAACACCACCCCGCCTCCTCAGAAAGCGAGTCCCTAGTGACGATTCGGGTGCGGCCTTCCTCCGAGGCGTGCCCAGAACAGACAAGCATTAGACAAGAAGACGGACCGAGCTTACTTTTCTACTACATCTTCGATGACTGGGTGTCATCCTATGCCCTTGTGGCGAAACGTGAGCACAAATATGGCGTGGCTTTAGACCGGCTGGTATGTGGACCAATATTCCCTCTCAGTCCTTTGTGGTGAACGTGTCATTCCCTCGCAGCGTTTTACAGAACTAACACCTCGAGGCAGAGACAAAACATGCTAGCCAAGCCGGTCGTGGACCTGATTGACGAATTGCACTGGCTGGGAAGGCGATTGGCAGTCCTCAAGCGTCTCTATCAGAGCTACGAGCTCATCATGATTCGCATTCTTCAACGACAGCGATCACTTCATGGTAAAGCACGCTACAATTACCCTCAACTGGCTCTCGGACAGACATTTGGAGACAACGACTCCGACGATACTCAAAAGCAATCCATGCAGAACAGCTTTAGTCTTTCAAGCATCCCAGATGATTCAGTTGGAGTACCTCTGAGCTCCGCAGCTATGACCCGCTTCGAGAGGCTGGTTGACCGCATCAAGCTGTATTGTCTCTCTGAGATTGAGACATGTTTGACAGAGAAAGAGAATCTAACCTTCTTGGTACGATTCACATTTATCTCTAGACAAGACTCCAGGGAAAGCTAACATTTTGTGATAGAATTTCAACTTGATAGCGCTCAAAGATTCGCAGGCTGTGGAGAAGCTGACCAGAATCACTATCCTTTTGGCGAAAGTGACGATCCTATTTCTACCGGTCAGCCTGATGACGGGGTATTTCTCAACGGAACTTCAGAATGTCAAGGGCGAATACACAATCACGCAATACTGGGCCAGCTTCGGCGTCATTATGTTCCTGTCCTTTGTGTCGCTTGTCTTCTTCGGTTATGTCAGTGACACTGTGGAAGGCAGGCCGATCTACGAGTCGTTGTTCCAGAAGTTCTTCCGGGTTTCTCGAAGCAAAATCTCACACAGTCGCAAAGACATACGAGATACATGAAGCCACCTCACCCATCTTCAAGGATATGGACAAGTCAAGAGGCCATGATTGATGAAGATTGACATGTACTGTACAATATGGGATTCTCAGCTGAGGGACATTATGCTCGCTGACTGATCTACGTCTGCCAAGTTCAATAAATACATTGTCTGCATTTTGACTTTCTATCATCCATGCATAGACCCAGAGTGACTGACGGTTCTTTCATGTGAAGGCTTACATGCCTGGAAAATCAGGCACTGAAGCCGCCTGAAGCTTGGGATATAACTTTGTCACTCTTCCCCCTTGCATCTGATCGATCACATGACAACTGAGCTTATTATCCTGCTGTCAAAGTTCTGCCTTTCTATCTTTCTTCCTCAAGCACCTTTGATGTTCATTTAGTCATGTCTTATTTCTTCCCACCCCGGCAATCTTCCCAGGTAGAATGATTTTCTACGAGTTGGCCTGAGGACTGGATCAAGCTGACATCGTTAGATCATCAAGCTAGATGGTCACGAGATAATGGCAACCGAGATTGAGCTACTAGATCGACATCGAACAGTCTATCGTTTCAAACTTGAGCCAGGCTCATATCGGCATACAATTCCCAAGACAGCCACCTCTGTTATTGTTAAGCAACAGAAAGATGAATGGGAAGAAGAGTTCAAGGATGAGCAGAGGGCCTACAACAGATTAAAGAAGCTCCAGGGGAAAGTGATTCCATACTTTTATGGTCGGGGTCATTTTGATGGACGACCTGCACTCGTATTATCAGATGTTGATGGGATTACTTTAGATGAATTAGCCCGCAGCAACTACGAGGTCCCCGAGGAGACATTAAGATCTTCTCTGGAGGAAGTCTTTAGTGAGTTTTCGAAGCATGGAGCTTTGTACCGAGACCAGAAGCTGGATAACTTCTTGTTGTGTGATGGCAAAGGCCGCGAGAAGAGCAGAGTGATGGTTGTTGATCTCGAGCAGGTGGTATTCCCTGAGCATCTTCGTCCTTGGCAACATTCTATCAACCAGGAGAAAGCGAGGTGTCTGATGGAAGAGTTTAGATACAGACGTAACCCCGGGCGCGAATCATCTCCACTTGAGTTCTGGATGTCTGGGCATGATAAGGGTGTCTCCCTCAGCGAGCTAAATGATTTTGCACGCGATCTGTCAAGAAAGTCTTGGGAGGCCTGCTTCTACCACGGCTTGAGCAAGATAGAGGAAGAAGGAACACTATGCCATGCAAATATGATATGGCATTGGTTTCACACTGAGGCGAATATAGTAGAGAATGAACCTCAATGAAGTAATTCCTTGTATGGCTGATAAGAACTGTATCTTCTACTTCGCAGTCCCGGGTTTGCTTAGATCTGTTTGCAAGTGGACGCGGGGAAGGAGGTTTAACATCTCCAGAGTAAGGACTTGGCTGCTATACTCACCCTATACTCACTCTTGTCAGAATCAGTCACTAAGTCTGCTCCATGGTCAATGATTATGGAAAGATCACTATAATCTCGCTAGCTGAGATCCTCATTACCCAAGTTTTATGGCTTGGTGTTCTTGGTGCCAGACAACCTAGAGACTTGGTCTTGAAGAAGGGATGTGGTATAGAATTGCCCCCTGTAGCAAATGTCTTACAGGGTAAAGATGGCATGTCAAAGACCTGGTAGCATGACCATATCATTGTGATGATTCTTAATACAACATGAGGGGGAAACGATAAGATTATCGTTGTGCGGGGTCCCGCTACATTCTACTGTAGCCTTGGTGTGGAGGTCTACCAAGGCGGTAACTCACGGCAGAGTAGGTAAAGGGTCACGGCCACAATGAGCTATATAGAACGGGGCAACACCTATTATCAGTTGGTATATCAGAATCAACACATACAGTACGTCATCGGGATCTAGCTTTAACTCATATCATAGTACCATTATACTAATTTATGTATCGCATCCTCAAACTTCGCCAGCGCCTCGAACCACTTATTTCAGATTGCGTAGTTGAGGGTGGAGGCTTCACCACCTCTCGTTATGGAGATGCTTCAAGTAAGTAACTGGATACTCAATCCGTGATGATGTCTTATATGCCCAATTTCGAGAAGCGGGAGAAAGGCTAGATTCCTGGGGCTTGGTCTGAGATAGATCAACTTTGCATTGCTTGTTTTTGAACTATGGGACCGCTTTTGAGGCTTTCATTCTTCTTCAATAATGCGATGAATCGAACTATAGCCGAGCACGATGGAGGTGTATGGCAGAGACAGCTATCACTTCTGGCTTCCGCACAAGATCTACCCGCTAAAATCATTCGTCTATTTTATATCGAAGCTCTCTTTCGCTTGGCTCATACAGGTATGAGGCTTGAACGCGGGCTTTGTAAACCAGAACTAAATCGCAACTATGGTGCAATTTGAACCATAGAAGGCAGCTTATGGTAAGCCTAAAAATGACAAACGATCTTGCCCCTTCAGCCGAATATTGAGAACTTCTGCAAATTGTGAGCCCCCGGCACCAGGAGACGTTCATAGTTAAAGCATGCTTGATGAGGACCTCGAATGTGCTTTAACCTTCATTGATATCTGCTTCCTCGATACACTTGATGTCCACACATCTTATGTGTTTCCTAATGAAGGGAGGGATGCATATCCACCATGAAAATCTCGGAACAGCATAGACCGGCACAATCTTCTCAGGAAGTTCAGAACAGTGTAATATACTGGTCAAGTCTCTGGAGTATATCAAGCAGATGTCCTGGGAGCATTTCATTAAACTTGATATTCCAAGAAGGAATGATTCTGATCTCTTCTGGTATAAGCCTGGCCAGCCATGTGTTGGCTTTATCTTTAGATTGCCCATTGCTGCGCCTCGAGTTGATATTGCTGTACTATACTGATACTGTACTCTGTATTGTACAGAACACCGACGGAGGGACTTGTGGGTGAAGACTGTATGAGAGGCGGTAACTTTACCGCGTAAGATAGTAAGAGTCGATGAACGGAAAACAACGTGTCCTCTTCTGGTGGCCAGGCAGAAACCGATCTTCAATAATGCCAGGGTTCTGTCAAGCTCTCCAGATTGTACCTAAATGATCCAACAGTTGGCATAAATGAAGAGTATCATCTTCTACTGATTGACATCAATTGATTCTATAAATATATAGTATACGCTTCAAACGCCAAAGTTACTCCATCTACTGTACGTACGGTACACGAAAAACAGTCGGTAAGTATTTAACTGATTGTTTTTGGCCGGTTTTAGTTAGTGACGGAAGCTACGCCGGCGGCTGAACTTCTCGACCTGGTCACTGGTCACTCGCTGGCAGTTTTGCTCACCCAAAATTTCCTCCACCCCTCGAACGAACCAACAAACAGAGGGCCTGCTCCATAACAGACCCGAACCTGAACCTGACCTGACCTGACCGAACCTGACCCTCTCTGCTGTTTCCAGTCGGGCGGGCGGTCGCTGGTCTCTTAGTGCCTCTCTGTCTCTATCTCTGTCTGGTCTCGTTCCCACACCCATTCCCACCCCCCTCCCTCTCTGTATCCACGCCCATTCCTAATCTCCCTTCCTCTTTCCCTTCCATCTTCAAACCACATCGGTAAGTACATTTTTGCCTATGTTAATGGTTTATGTCTGCTTGGTCAAGTTGTCGTTGTGTCTCTTGTCCTATCCACCGCCCCTCCCCTCAACTCCCTGACCAGGCTGGCTCTGGTCTTTGTGTCTGGTTATTTCGCCTCCCTCTAATTCCACTCCCCCTGATTTGTCTTGCCCGCCGTGTTTCCCCGGCGTGACTACCTTAACCTGACGACTTCCACCCCTCGTTGTCGTCCACCTCTTATTTCCCCTTCGTCATACCACTGTCCTGCTCGCTCTCATATATACCTCCTCAACCCCTCATCACCCGACCCGTGATTGAACAGCAGGGCACTCCCGCAATCGTGCTCGCATTCTTACACTCTGTCCTGTCTGGTCGCATCTAACATCCTCCGCGCTCACCATCTAGAACCCTGAAGATACACCACGACCATCATGGGTATCACCTTCTCCAAGATTTTCGACAGACTATGGGGACGCAAGGAGATGCGGATTCTGATGGTCGGTCTCGACGCTGCCGGAAAGACCACCATCCTGTACAAGCTCAAGCTCGGTGAAATCGTCACCACCATCCCCACCATCGGTCAGTCACCCTATTCGACTATTGTCTCGAGAGCAGCATGTCTCTGCTCACCCAGCGCATGGGTTCACTGCTGAGCTGGCTCGCTGACACATCTTGGGAATTGTTCATGCAGGCTTCAACGTCGAGACTGTCGAATACAAGAACATTCAGTTCACCGTCTGGGACGTCGGTGGTCAGGACAAGATCCGTCCTCTCTGGAGACACTACTTCCAGAACACCCAGGGTATCATTTTCGTCGTCGACAGCAACGATCGGGATCGTATTGTCGAGGCCCGCGAAGAGTTGCAGCGCATGTTGAACGAGGATGAGCTCCGTGACGCCCTGCTCCTGGTCTTCGCCAACAAGCAAGATTTGCCCGTATGTGCTCCAACGCTTACGATTTGAGGAATGATGATATTGACGGTTTTATCTCTCAGAACGCCATGAGCCCCGCCGAAATCACCCAGCAGCTCGGCCTGCAAAGTCTCACTCGCCGCCCCTGGGTAAGTTTGGAAATCACGTCATCTTGGTGCCTCAGGTGTTGGTGCTCGCTTACTGACCCTTGACCTTTTTTTAGTTCATCCAATCCACCTGCGCCACGACTGGTGATGGTCTGTACGAGGGTCTGGAGTGGCTCGCCGAGACGCTGCGGAAAACCAACCGCGACTAAATGGATATAATGATTGGAGGTATACCTGGAAGCGTGTGACGGGGCCTGTTGCAGATGACATGACTGGAAACAAGGGGAGACAAACCGGGGCCGACCTCGTGTGTAGTGTGGAAAGGGAAATGCTACTTTGGTGGTTCTTGTATGTTCTCTTACGGCTCTTCATTCCTCTATGCTATTAGCTTTTTACTTTTTTTTTTTTCTTTACTCTCTCTTTCGCCATCGATAACTGAATGTCGGTGTGGATAACAACGATAATTTCTTTCTACGACTCTTCTGCCGGAGGACTTCCTGCCACGGAAGCCCGACGAATGTCTCATGGATTGCACTGAGAGCACGGTCGACTCAGTCCAGTCATTGTATCTCATTATCACCGCAGGAAGAGGGTGGAATTGCAACATGTAGAGAGTTGACGCACGTGAGTGAAAACAATAAATCAGTGTGATGGGTCCGGACTCTTGCTAGCTTGGGGAAGCTTATCTACAACTCAACCTGAATGTATGCAGCGTGATATCCAGGACCGCCCGACGCCAGCGCCAGCACTATCACCGTGCATCTTGCACCTCGCCCCTTTATAAGCCGGCTGCCGTGAGATCGACTAGGAACCCGTAGGTGCAATCCTCCATCCGCCTGTACGTTCTGTCGTCGTTTCCATCATCGAATATTCCTGGCTAACTCATGATAGAATCGTATCCCGCTGATGACGGCGGCGGAGACGGTAATATCAACCGCTGACGCTTAGGACCCTTTCGGTTGCTCATCTACTACCACCACCACCACCACCACTCACAAGCACTACACCCACCAAATCATATAATCACCCACCCTGCAGCTTTCCTCCTCGCCACCTCTCCCACCCCTTGCCCCTAGCCCCTCAGCCTCCGCGGGCCTCACGACGTCTCACCACCCCGGCAGGCATGCACCGAATAAAACTAATTCTCCAAAGCATCCCCAGGTGCATTCACCTCCGCAACTCCGTCCCACTCACCCACCACGCCGCCGCCCGGATAATCTCGAGTACACAGTCCAACTCCTCGGCGTCGCGCGGCGCATACACCATCACAAACCCGGGCGGCACGATGCGCAGCCACCACCACCAGCTGTCGCGGGCCAGCGGGTGCCGCTGGCCCCAGCCGCGCTCCAGCACCAGCTTCACGTCCGCCGGGTGCAGCGTCAGGTGCAGGCTGCCGTCGCTCGGGTGCGCGTGACACACCTCCCCGTTGCAGGTGAGGCGGTGGCGGCGTTGTTCTTGTTGGTGGCTGTTGTTGTTGACGCCGGGGTTGGATACTTTGAGGGTTTGGGGGGAGGTGGTGGTGTTGTCGGGACCGCAGGCAGCGTTGCCGTTCCCGTTCCCGTTCCCCGCGCAGAACATCCCCGTGCTATACTTCTCGAAGCACGAGGTGCCCGTGTATAGCGTGTCCGGGTGCTGGGCGACCAGGCGGTGGATCTCGGTGGACAGCGTCTCGTAGATCGCGGCGTCGCTCCTTTGGGTCGTTTGGCGTTGCGGCGCGATCCCTGTGACGGTGGGGCGGGGGCCGGCGCGCGGGGGCAGGTGCGAGGCGCGAAGCAGGCCTTGTTGCGGGTGGACGCAGGGGGGGATTGTTGGGGCGAGTAACGGGTTGCGCAGGATGAAGAGCCGGAGGATGCAGATCCGGAGGTAGCCCGCTGGGGTTGAGGGGGTGCCTCCTGGTCCCAGGGCGAGGAAGGCATGGTAGTCTTTGCGGATCGTGTGGAGGAGGTAGAGGGTTGGGAGGAGGAGCAGCAGGCATGTTGTTGTTGTGGTGGTGGGGTCGAGGGTGAAGATTAGGTGGTTGTGGTTGGGGTTGGGGTTCAGGTGGTGGTGGTTGAGATTGTGGGCTGCTGGGGATAGGTTCGATGATACTGCTACTGCTGCTGCTGCTGCTGCTGGTGATGTCTGACAATGGGGGTCAGGTGCTTGTCAGTGATTGTTCTACTGGGTTTATGCTATTATGTGTGGGTGCGAGGGAAATAGGCATGGGTGCGAAGCGTACCATGATGTCTGTCTTTCTTTCTTTCTTTGTTGATTGGTCTCGACACGAGGTGAGTCGGTTGCTGATGGGGGGGACTGCGATGATGGTTCAGGTTTGAGGGAGAGGATGGGCTGAACACTCGATCACCTATCTCAATGCGCTGCAGAGCACAGCGCCATTCACTGTGTTCTTGCCCCGGGGCAAAGGGGGCACCAGGGCTGGTAAGCTCGTTTTTATACTTCTGCTCCAAGGGGGTGGAGTAAGGTAGGTGTCATATCGTGACCCAGCTCCGTCTCTTTTCTCCACAAATACGACAAAGAGAGAGCTCGAGGCACACAGGAATGGCTGGAATGAAGGCGCGGTACTGAGGGGTGGTCAATGTAGGTAGTCAGTAGGTCCCGGCAGGTCTCATGCTGCCACGATAGTTTTTTTTTTTTCTTTTTTTTTTCTTTAATAGAATCTACGGCAAAAGGTGGATATGCACTGTTGAGTGCAGCCAGGTGGACCAATAAAGGTCACAGTTGCATCACACCGCAACTAATACTCCGCAGTCCAGAATGTGATTCATACATGAGTACATTGAAAGCTGCTCATCAATAGCTCGGCTATTGCGCGTGGTGTGGTTTAGTTTTGTGTGGATGAGATGGAAGGAACGAAGGAAGGAGGTACTAGGTACCGTCGTCAGTGTGATGTATGCTGGCGAAAAGAAGCTAAGGTATGCGGATGAAGCAGCAATGACTAAATGTCGAAGTAACCTCTTCGAACATAAAACCTCCCCCAACAAGAGGTTCGGAGGATAAGAAGACGGAAAGCGTCGGGCCTCCCCAAAGCCACGGTATGCCGAAGCTGTCAGCGGATGAGCTGTTTCGTCAAAAGACGCTCCTTTCTTCCTGGTCGCAGGAATAGGAATGCAACACGAGGTGTGGTGTGGGAGGTGCCGTGCAGATAGAACTATGTTCCCATTGACTCTTGGGGGGCCGCTCGCTCTTGTTTCTGGGCATCTAGGAGGCGTGTCGCCCAGCGAGAAGTGGAGTCCAATCTCATCAGAACCGGGGTAATTGTGGGCCCTGGAGCACGGTGGTTTCTTTCATTCCCATTGCCGGGTCCTTGGAGGTCATGCCATTTAACCTTGAAGGCAGGATTAGACTCGGTTGTGGGAGAGAAAGATTGTTAATTCATTCGTTGGTTGAATGTGAATGGGGGCCCGTTTTTGGGGAAGTGAGGTCGGAATTATCAGTGACATCACCGCACTTGATGGTTGCAGATAACGGGTTTTCCTCCTGCTTCCCCGAAAGTGCCTGGCGCTCGCCTTGGGGATTTAGTTGGGATTCAATCCCTGTGGAAAGAGCTCTACCTGCTTCTGGTGAGAAACATATTTAGTACATAGTGCAGGTGACTTTGCTACTTGAGTTTTTCTCTATCGTGTGACCTTTTCTTGAGTTGAGTGGAATAGTTAGTTATGTGGAATATGTACTTAGTAATAGCCTAACTTACAACACGAGTGACTGGAAGCTTGCTGCTGCTCTGCTGTTGCTTGCTCGGACACTGCTTGATGCCTGGAGTTGCCTCAGGCTGAAAAGATATCCCAGAGAAGCTTAGCGCGTTGAGACAGGGCGCTAATCCTGATGTGGACAAGAAAGGTCGAGCCCAGTCTGTGTCTCGAAGAAACACAGCTCAGCTCGAGTTCTTGACTTCTTGGAACTACTGTACCATGGAACTTCATACTTACTTTCACAGCCATGCAGCCTTTTAACTTATCGTTTATTCCATACTCGATTCTATCCTTGTATACTCGTGAAAATAGGCCCTGCAAATAAGACTGATCCTCTTCAGAACGGAACTCATCTCGATCTCGTGAAAGTCAAGGTCTAGAGATGGCCCCGCCAAGATGATCAAGTCCAGCCTAGTGCAGCAAGCGCTGGTCGTCGTCTCTTGGGCAACGACTGGCGCCGATCTGCCAAACACTACGCCATATACTCCGTACCACCGCGCAGTCTTGTGTTTTGTTGACAGTCAGTCTGAGAGCGTTGAACCGTGCTGAGCTCCTCGGTCTGATCAATTGTTATTGATCGGCTCGATCCAAGTCCCGGGCAATTGGACTTGAACGTGAGTGCTCTTGTTTTTATTTGTTCCCACGTCCCCATCGGGAATCTGTGACTATAGATCGGTGGACAACGATCAGTCACCCACTTTCGGGCGAACCGTTCTGACACTGCTCAAGAACAGGTCGGCATGTGTGTTCTTCATTGTCAGATATGTATGATTCAATCGCTCACTAACCTTGACACATGATAGTTGCTGAATCTTGACCTTTCCATTCCTCGGATCTGCTGGCGCCGTTCAATCGATCGCCCTGCACGGTGCGCATTCCTCTGACGTCGTTAACGCCCACCTGTTCATGCTGTGTCCACCATGCCCATTCGAGCCAAAAGGCATCCAGCCTCCAAAACGGTTCATGCACGGTACTCAAAGAAAAGTCGCAATGTGATGGTGGATATAGAGAAACAACCTGCACGCCCTAAACGTCACTATCGCCAATATAGCCAGAGTTCATATGAATCCGATACGGATACTGAGGATGACTCCACCAGCTCCTCCTCCGCTTCTTCGTTTCGCCCTATGCTGAATGATGCGCCGGCGCGCCGGCCGCCTCGCATTGGGTTGGGCTATCGCGTCCCCCACCGAGTCATGCGATGGCTCTGCATGGGGTTGCTTTCATTCCTCGTGCTTTTCATTATCGTTCTGTTTCGATTTACATTTCTCTCCACTGTTAGTCGGGTCAATGTCCCGCTGCCCAAGCCTAGCGCCAAGCCGCCCGCTTGGGAAAGCTTTCCCTTTCTCAAGCGCTATCATGGGGGCATCCGAACCTTGGTCACGCGCGCAGAAAATGTACCCGAGTATCCCAACGACAGCTTGGAAGCGATGGATGCTGGCAACACTGACTCCCAGAACAATACCAGCATCTCGAAGCGCGACCAAACCGTACCCTTTTCAAGCTTGGTCTTCAACCCGTACCCTGACTACGCTTCCCCAGAGTACATCGCCAAGTATGGAGAGAAGCACGAATGCTTTCTAGATGAGGATGGAACTATGCGGGTTCCTTTGGTTCATCATTACCCTGGCGTGCCTCGCGGATTTCCTGACCCGGTCATAGGCTCCAATGAATTGCTTGGCATTAAGGATGACGTTTGCTTCGATCGATTCGGCCGCCTTGGGCCATATGGTATGGGCTACAGTGTCCGAAAAGGTGGAATCGGTGCAGGCCTCGAAGGAGAACGTGAGGGCGCTGAGCGTGTCTGGCAAGATTTTCCACCGGTCGATTTCCGGAAAGTGGATTGGGCTGCTGCTCAAAATCGATGCATTGCCACAAACAACCATCGCTTCACAGAGCTCCCTACACCGCGTCTCGACCGCTTTATCTCCATGCCGATTGGAGTTCCGACCTTGGATGATGCAG